ATATTATAGCATATAGATTATCATATTGTTACCATTATCATATTGTTACCAAAATTACTCAAATAAAAATACTATAACTATAATATATAAAATATAAAATTTTTGCCTCATAGGCATTGTTATTTTACTTGCCATTCATGACCACTATTTATTATTTCACTAATTAAATTTCAGTTTCTTTAAATTTAAAAATCCATAGTTGATACTGCGCTAATAAATTGTAATTTTTTTTATTATTTTCTCCTTTCTTAAAAATTAATACCCCACAAATTAGTACTAATTTGTAATATAAAATCCAGCTGAAAATATTTTACAAGAAGAGAACACAGACATGGAAACACTGTAGGGGTTACACTCAAGACTTGATCAACCGCCACTGGATAGGGGCACGCCCTCTTGAAGAAAACAAAAAAGAAAAAGAAAACAGCCTTTGTCAAAATACCTATATAAACCAGTGAAAACTCTCTTACACTCATATACAAACCACTGACATCAGGCAGGAATGGAGACAGCAGGTGTTATAATTGGTCTGATATTAGCGGTGTATTTTTTTCAGCTGAACTCAGTTATCGTGTTGGCTGTGTGCCTAGATTGTCTGAATCATAGGAATAGGTTTACAGCAGCTCATGCTGGTACACTGGTTTCATCTGTGAACTGTAAGCTCCAGGGTAGCACTCGTCTGCCAGCATTCTCAATGGATGGAGATTTTATTATTGGGGGATCGTTCTCCCTTCATGCCTACATGGATACATTTTATAACAACTACTCTAGCATACCGAAGCCTGTGAAATGCAAAGGGAGGTCAGTAACAGTGAGATATGTGTGATAACAACATGTTGGATTGTATAATGGGGGATTAAAGTTGACATGTATTGTGTTTAAAGGTGCTGAATTATCTCTGTGTCGCACAAAAACAAATGTAAAGCAATAATGCTGAATAATTTGCAATTTTTCATTTAATTTTAAGTTTTATTCTAGTTTTAAAAGCTTCACAAATTAAAGTGTGTTAAGCAACAGTTTCATAAGTGTCAACCCAGAAAACAAAAGATAAATTCCAGTAGATATCTGACAGTGGTTCAATCCTCCAAAATGTCCTTCATATGTAGCCTTGTAGCCTTAATTCTAACACTTGCTTGATTGTCTGCAGCATTGACACCCGTGGGCTGCACTTCTCACGTGCAATGATCTTTGCCATAGAAGAGATTAATAACAACACAGACCTGCTACCTGGAATCAAGCTTGGATACCAGATCTATGATTCATGTGCATTAGTGCCTGTTGCAGTGCATGTGGCATTTCAGTTTTTAAATAGCTTCGACCCTGTGTTTTCCACTGGTAACAATTGTTCTCAGTCTGGTATGGTGATGGCTGTTGTCGGGGACTCTGGGTCTACACCATCCATCAGCATTTCACGTCTCATAAGTCCCTTTAACATTCCTCAAGTATGTATTTTTTTTAAATTTTTGCACATTTTAATGAAAATTTACATCTCCATAAAATTTGAATGCACATTTATTTAAAGAGTAGCACTGTTTTTTGTTTTGTTTTAGGTTAGCCACTTTGCCACATGTGCTTGCTTGTCTGACAAGCAGCAGTACCCAAATTTCTTCAGAACAATTCCCAGTGACCAGTTTCAAGCTGAATCACTAGCCAAGCTGGTAAAACACTTTGGCTGGAATTGGATAGGTGCTGTTCGGTCGGATTCGGATTATGGAAATAATGGCATGGCTTCTTTTCTCCAAGCAGCACAGAAAGAGGGGATCTGTGTGGAATACTCTGTATCTTTCTATCGGACAGACCCACAGAGCAGAATTCAGAGAGTAGCAGATGTTATCCGCAGGTTTCTATATCACAGATATAACATGTGGATTATTGTATGTGTTGAAATTAGGTTCCTTTTTTAAGTAATATTTCATGTCATATCATGAGACAGTCAAAAAATGTTTTTAATGCTTTATGTTGTATCTCAAGGTCTAAAGCTTTAGTTGTTGTGGCATTTGCATCTTTTGGAGACATGAAGATCTTGTTGGAGGAGCTTTCACGTGAGCCTTTCCCAACTCGCCAGTGGATAGGCAGTGAGTCATGGGTAACCAACACAGAATTAACGAGGTACAGTTTCTGTGCTGGGGCCATTGGATTTGGTATTCCGAAGTCTGCAATCCCAGGTCTCAGAGAATTCCTGCTGAATCTCTCTTTCTCTGAAGTGGCTGCTTCGTCAGTGCTCACTGAGTTTTGGGAGGATGCATTCAACTGTAGACTGAAAAAAAGTACGAAAGTTTTCTTGATTACAGAAAAACATCTAATTTGTCAGATTTATCAAAATAAAATGTATGAAATCTAGATCAAAGTTCAGTGGTGAAAAGATATGTTTATGTTTGTTCATTTTTCTGTAGGTGCTGCTACTG